GGGAGGAAGCGCGGGAGGCTCGACTTCTCGTACATGGTAAATCAAAAACCGCTTCCTAAATCTGATTCGATTTTTGACGCGTTTGGACCGCCATAGATTGACGTATTGACGGGTACAATTCAATAATGTCTGGCTTTAAACAACGACGGCCTTTAGGGGTTTGATTTACAACGCGCGCCCATTTTATTTAGCAACAAGTCCGGCCCGAACGCATCTGCCATTCACTTACCAGTCCCGTCCCGTCTAGCATTGGTATAAGCTCCTCACTTCAATGCGATACGTACTACTTTTGAATCATATATATGCTTACACTGGCGTAATGCGCTCGCCATCGGGGCCGCCCGCGCAGATGGCTCGGCGCGTCCTGTCGTCTTCCCGTTCCCCGCGTCTCTTGCCTCCCGCCATCATGCTCACTCCCGTGCACTCTCCCTCGTCCCCCTTGTCCCGCATACGCTCCCACCAGTGTGCCCCTTCTTATAGTTCTCGGTTCGTCGCTCGTTGGGGAAGTGATTGGCGACGGGATCATACACTCATAGCCTCTCCTCGACTAGGCGCAGAACACCTTCAAGTGGGAGGACGCTCTTTTGCTTTCACCGTGGACGCCGTCCTTGCCGCATTTGAGGGCAGAGGATGCAAGACGCGGCTCTCCGTGCCCGCTCGCCCCTTCGCACGCTCCTACCTGTCTTCCGCCGACGCGCACTCGCTTGTTGCACGCCACGACTCGGATGCTCGCGTGGTGTGCTCGCATCCTGCTTTGTTACCTACGCTGCGCATCGGAGTGCTGGCGAGCATGTTTCGGAGAGTGCCGCGGGCGCACTCTTCCTGCGGGCAAGACGGAGGTCTACGCGTCCAGGGCCCTAGCGAGGTCTCTTTCGACGAACTTCGGGAACTTTTCGAAGCCTACAGGCCCTCTCCAGAAGCCGACCTCTTCCGTTATCGCGCCCCTCGCAGCATAGCACTCGGAATCCTCATATTACATGCGGTCGACTTTGTCATCGGCTCGCTTACCTCCCGCAACTTGGAAATACGTCCGTGCTATCGTGCTTGGCGAGAGGGGCCAAGGCGACGCGAAGTTTTACTCAGTGAAGGACCCACAGCTCGCGCAGTCTTGGGCCAAGAAGTGACCGCCTAAGCTCGTGAAGACGAGGTCCGTATTCTTCATACATTCTACCTAAATTGCAGGCTAACATGCCACACAGCGACGCCAAGCTCCATCTCGATACTTTATACACGCGCCTCCTCGGCAAGCCCCCGGTCATAGTCGCAGTCATGACGCCGACCTCAGTCAAGGTCGGCTTCGTCTCCTTGGTTCTCAGCGCTGGCTACTATGTTGAGCTTGCGGGTGATGGCCACTATTCCCCCACTGCACTCCGCGCGAAGGTTGCCGAGATCCAAGCCAGATCCCTGCTGGAGCGTCGGCATCACCCTCAAGGCGTTTCATCAACCCCCGCCAGTCCGGTTCCCAGACTCCCATTGTGGCACGAGATGCGTGAGGAGGGCTCTGTGTCGCTGCTGGTGTTCCTGCTATCGAGAAGGCAGTCGAGATCATTGCGGTCTCAAGACTCAAGGGCACTGGTCTCCGCGACGTTGTGACCAAGCCCTGCTCGGTAGAAGGCATCCGCCAGGTCGTCATCCCGCCGCTGCCAACCCCGACTTCCCCATCATTGTGCAGTGGACGGGTGGCCGCGCCGGTGGCCACTACAGTTTCCACCAGCCGATCGTGCAGACCTGCGCACGAGAACGCTGTCCTTGTCGGTGATTGTGACTTCGGCGCTGGCGAGCAGCTTTGCCCATACCTTTCTGGTGAATGATGGTGAATGAAGCGCCGCTCACGGTCTTCAGCTGATGCCGTTCGATGGCTTCTTCGGGTCGTAGGCTATGATCCCCAAGGAGGCGAACACGGGCGCGAGCGCGAAGGACCTCATTGTCGCCGTGTCTGGTGCGGACGATGCGCAGTGGGACAACATGCGCGCGAAGGAGACAGAAAGGGTCTCGACGGTGCGCAGCGAGTTGCGCAAGTCCATCCATAAGGTCGCTACCCGCACCGTCAAGTCGTGGACGGACTTGAATGACACGGTGTTCGAGCTGCCGAGGGCGAAAAGGGAACCATGGGTAGAGGAGAGGAGGGAAGAGGTTATCGGGAAGCTGAATCAGGACTTCTAGTAGCCTTAAGTACGTTCTCCCCATTATTCACTAAAAAGATCATACACTCATGATGTTCCTAGCTTGGCTGCCGAGAGCCTTGGTAACATGGTTATGAGGAGAACATTCTCCGCTTTGTTCGTCTCGTGCACGTTGCAGACGAGGAGCGCTGGGTCGACATCTCGCCTCGCAACATCACAGCTGATTGGCTTCGCCGGGGCGGCCAAGGCGTCACCAGCAGCTCGACAAACCCCATGAGTTCGTCGAGGAGATTTTCAATGTCTACGCATTGGCCACGGAGTAACTACTTGCAAGCGAGGACCTCGTGCACTTCCTCGCGGATGTTCTCCGAAGGTTCCCCGAATAGTCTCAGCCGCACGCCGAGCTGTGCCTACGACTACAACAGTCTCGTGCAGGCGTCTTCAAATGATGCCTCTGTCGGTGCGCACGATGCCGATGCGCACAGTCAGGGTACGGACAGTACCGCGTTGTATCGGCATCAATACTGGCATGTGCTCCGATATCGGACTCAGTCGTACCAACCTGGGTGTCATGGACCACGAGTGTGAGCATTACCCTTGTTGTACTCACAAGGTCTGGATACTAACTGTAAGCCCTATCTAGTTATCCGCTTCGTTGGTGTGCGCCTCGAGGGCATCATCGACGAGATCCTGGACTTGGGCGAGGGCCAGTACGGTTGTCGTGACATTATTCTCTGCGACCGGTCGGTCTGCCCGTTTTGTGAATGCCGTTCGCTATACATCTTGCCAACTTGCTGATCCATCGCCACAGATCCAATAGATCACCAGGCCCGTACAAAACCCACGTGCGTACATGCTCTTCGCTAATGTTCGGTTCGCGTCTTAACGCTGGTCTTAGGTCTTGCAATACACCGTTGATGTACACGATGGGCACTCCTCTTGACACCGTCATTCT